CCCCCCCCCCCCGCACCCCATGCAACCAAGCCCCCCTGCACCCAGGCACCAGCCCCCCCGCGCACCAATCCCCCCTCCCCCCGCAACCAGCCCCCCCTGCACCCAGGCCCCCCCCGTACCCCATGCAACCACGCCCCCCCTGCACCCAGGCACCAGCCCCCCCCGTGCACCAACCCCACCTCCCCCCTGCAACCAGCTCCCCCCTCCCCCCCTGCACCCAGGCACCAGCCCCCCACACCCCATGCAACCGGGCCCCCACCCACCCCCAGACAGCAGCCCCCCCATGCACCGAGCCCCCCCCATCTCCCCTGCAACCAGCCCCCCAGGGCGCTGAAGAAATCTCCCAGCCCCTGGCGAGAAAGACCATATTTGCAAACACCTGGCTGGAGCAGGACCGGGGGGAAGCTGCAAACCGGGCCCTGGGCTGCTACCAGAGCAACCTGCAAAGCAGCGGAGCTGCCCGTCCTTGGAAGAGCCGGGCTGATGGCCAGCAGCCGGGCCCCAGCCCAAAGCCTGCCCCACCAGCTTGAGTTCCTCCTTTGACGGGTGGGGGTAACCGATTTGGTGGAGGGGGGGAATGCGGGGACAGATCACCCCACATCGGGAAGACCAGAAGAGAGACGGAGAAGCGAAGTCAGGAAAGCAACTGAAATCCTGCTCGGTGGATGAGATTTCCCGAGGGGCCGCCTATCCCAAAGTCTCTATTACTGAGGGACCATCTACACCTCAGTAGAACTTGGGATGAATGATGTACCCCAATAGTTGGGTGCTAATATTTTCACTGCACCGTTCAATTGATTAACCAGCCGTTGGGATATTGCAGATGATGGACTAGATGTATTTTATGACTTGCTAACCCCACTTTGTACTTTGGGATGCTTGAAGCATTATACCCAGATGTACAGAAACGCTTTCCGTAACCTAGGAAGATCGTTTTAAACATTAGCTCGAATAAACATTTTTATACCTGGACTTGGATATTAGGAAAAACTGTTTCACTAGGAGGGTGGTGAAGCACTGGAATGGGTTCCCTAGGGAGGTGGTGGAATCTCCATCCTTAGAGGTTTTTAAGGCCCAGCTTGACAAAGCCCTGGCTAGGATGATTTAGTTGGGGATTGGTCCTGCCTTGAGCAGGGGCTTGGACTAGATACCTCCTGAGGTCCCTCCCAACCCTGATATTCTATGATTCAGCCAGGCTTTGGACCAGGGCTGTCAACCGATGGGAAAAAAAAATTGCAATGAATCGCGAGATTTAAAAAAAACAAAACACAGTGGCGCTCCATCGCGGGTTTAATTTCACTATTAAACAAGGATTGAATCCCAATTTCACTTCAGGTCGAAGTACGAAGGGGCACACGTGATTTGTATGTTTGGCTCAGAAATACCTTGCGACCCCGGCTACAACCGTGCCAGGCGAACGCCTGTTCTCTCACTTTCAGGTGCCAGTGTAAATAAGAAGCGGGCAGCATGATCGCCCGGAAGTGTAAACACACTAGTTCATCTGAGTGATTGGCTGAACGAGAAGTAGGACTGAGTGGACTTGCAAGCGCTAAAGTTTTGGATTGCTTTGGTTTTGAGCGCAGTTATGTAACTTTTTTTTTTTTTTTTTTTAAAAACACTTGTAAGGTGCACCTGCAGGATAAAGAGATTGCCCAATAGCACTGGGCTGAGGTGAACTGAAAAATATTATTTCTCGTTTATCTTTTTTACAGTGCAACTACGTGTAATCAAAAGTACTGCTGCAAAGTGAACCTTGTAAACTTTGTATTCTGCATTGTAATTGAAAGATAGTTGAAAAACTGGAAAAACATCACCAAATATTGATCATCAATGGAAATTGGTGTTCTGGTATTAACAGTGCGATTAAAAGTGTGATTAATCGCCACTTTTTTTTTAATCTAGTTAATTTGTTTTGCGTTAATCACTTGCCATCAACCGCAATTGACTGACAGCTCTGCTTTTGACATGTCCCACATGACAGTCTGATAAGTAAGCTGGAGAAATGCGGGCTTGGCAGAACTACCATTAGGCGGATACAGAATTGGTTAAATAATCACAAACAAAGTGTAACAGTTCATGGACTGTCGTCGGATTGGAAGGAGGTCCCAAGTGGGGAGCCGCAGGGATCTGTTCTAGATCCGGTGGTGTTCTACATCTTTATTAACTACCTGGAGGTAGGTATACAGAGCAGACTGATCCAATTTACAGATGGCACAAAGTGAGGGGGGGGTTGCCAACACTTTGGAGGACAGAGCTACAATTCAGAGGGATCTTGATAAACTGGAGAACTCGGCTGTAGCCAACAAAATGAAATTCAGTGAAGACGGGCTACACTTTGGGAAGAAAAACCAAGTGCACCAGTACAGAACGGGGGCGAACTAGCTGGGCAGAAGCGCTGCTGGGAAGGAGCTGGGAGTTGTGGTGGATCACAACCTCGACATGAGTCAGCAATGCGATGCTGTTGCAAAAAACAAAGAAAAAAAGCACGTACAATTTTCGGTTGCATTAACAGAGGCGTGGCTGCAGGTCCCAGGAGATGACAGGACGGCTCTGCTCGGCCCAGGCTAGGCCGCAGTTGGAGGACGGTGTCCAGTTTTGGTCACCAATGCACAGAAAGGATGTGGAGACACTGGGTAGAACCCAGAGGCGAGTGACAAAGCCGATCAAAGGGGTGGGACGCCAGCCACGTGAGCAAAGGCTGCAGGAACTGGGAACGCTCAGTTTGGAAAAGAGATTAAGGGGGGGACATGTGAGCGCTCTTCGACTACTCCAAAGGCTGCCATAGAAAAGATGGAGACAGGTGGTTCTCTCTTGCCCCAGAGGCCAGGGCGAGAGGCCGTGGGTTCAAACTACAGCACAGCAGATTGAGATTAAATCTCAGGGAAAACTTCCGGCCGGGAAGAGCAGGAGGACGATGGAACCGGTTGTGGAAGCTCCTTCGACGAAGGTTTCGAGCGGAGGCTGGAGCCATCTGTCTTGGATGGTTTAAATCCTGCAGCGTGGTCGGGGGTCAGACTAGGTGCCCCTTGCGGTCCCTTCTCACCACACGGGTCGAGGAGCCTATGATCCCCCATCTCATGCACAGCCCCCACTGCACCCTAAATACCATCCTCCACCCCCATCCCCCCACCCCAATGCACAGCCCCATCGCCATCCCCCCCACAGCCCCATTGCACCTCGGTAGCTTTTGGGTTCTGCATGAAAAATCCCCTGCACAATTCTAGGGGATCCACTTGCACTGCAGCAGTGGTAGGGCTCTTACCCTGGGGTCTCCCCCCGGCTCTGGGAGTGGGGGGCAGGGTCTGGTGGTTAGAGCGGGGTGGGGAAAGGAGGGGAGCCAGGACTCCTAGGTTCTGGGGGGGGCAAGGGGAGAGGGGAGCCAGGACTCCTGGGTTCTCGGGGGGGCGAGGGGAAGGGAGGGAGAGGAGGGGAGCCAGGACTCCTGGGTTCTTGGGGGGATCTCCAGGACTCCTGGGTTCTCAGGGGGGGCTGCCTGTCCCCCTCTTACTGGAATCGCCTCCAGGCGGGGGGGTCCCGGCTGCTGGCGCTCAGGGCTCGGCCCTTGCGGCTCTCGGGCGTCCAGGCCATGGCGGCTCCTCCCCCACCCGCACCTGGGGGCAGGTGCTTTATAGCCGGGGGCGGGGCCAACACCTGCGGCTCACCTGGATCCCGCCCCGCCCCTCCCCTCCCCGTGGGCTGAGGGGAGGGGCTGGGAGCCAGGACTCCTGGGTTCTCTCCGGGCCGGGGGCGGGTCTGGGATTAGGACCCAGGCGTCCTGACTCCCTCCCACCACCCGCTGCGCACAGAGAATTTGGAGCCTCCCAACCCGGCCAGTTGCTTCCCCTGACCCCCACCCCCAGCCTCCTGCCTCTCCTAAGATGGCGGCCTCAGGATCCTGCCCTATGCCAACATGACGGCCCCCATGGTTCCAAGATGGCCGCCCCCACCTGAACACCCCCCTTCCCGTGGTTCCTAGATGGCCGCCCCCATTTCTCCCGGCTCCAACATGGCAGCCACTCTCCAGGGGGCCGCCTTGTCGCCGGCTCCTTGGGAGTCCCGGGCGGGGCCTTCCCTGAGGGAACTCGCCTGCTGATTGGCTCCTTCGGAGTCCCGGGCGGGGCCTTCCCTGAGGGAACTCGCCTGCTGATTGGCTCTTTCGGTGGCCGGGGCGGGGCCAACGGTGTTGAAGGAAAAGGCGCGAGCGCGGGTGGCGGCTGGAACAACAAATCGGTGGCGGGATGGCAGCGGCTGGGCAGGCCCGGGAGTGAGTAGTTGGGGGGCCTGGGGTCCCCTTCTATGGGGCGGGGCGATGATGTGTCCCGCGGGGAGCCCCCTTCTCAATAGGAGGGCGATGGTGTGTCCCGGGGGGGGCCCTCAGGAGGGGGGGGGGCCGGGGGGGGGGGGGGGTTGTTGGGGTTCTGTGTAGGGCGCTCGGCGAGGGACACGGCTCCGAGGCTGGCCCCTGAGGACACCGCGTCGCCTGGGCGCCCGCCGGGCCCGTCCCGTCCCGATCGCATCGACTCTGCCCCGACTCCGGCGATTTCCACCATCCTTGACCCTGGAGCGCCTCGAAGATCAGCCTCGAGTCTTGGACCGCGACGCTGCCCGGCCGCGTTCTGCGCCGGTGGCTCCAGGTCGACGGCGTCGCCGTGATGCACCCGAGAGGCGACCGGGTAACCGAGGCAGGGTTGTCGCCTGCTGGCGCGGACTGGAGTCTCCCAGTTGAGCAGCAACGTCAACGTCGGAAGCGTTGCCCTGCCACGAGGAACTGTGGGCGTGAACCTACCACGGGAGGAGACGGCGGGGTGTCTGGGAGCTCCTCGCACTCCTCCGCTCGGTCCTCCAGCATCGCCTCTGCTTGGGTCCAGCTGTTCTCCGTTCGTGGGCTGATCTTGCCCAAATATTTGGCCATCTAGCCGGTGGAGATTTGGTCCTACGTGGTGGAGGATAAGTAGAGCTGGGTGCCATCGCTAGACATGGAAAATTAGATATTTATCTGTAAATGGCGGTAAACGTTGGTTGTGCCTGCACCCACCCAAACTGACACTAAATATTTCCACCGATGTGTGTCGAAATTTACGGAGAGGCAAAAAATGCACATTGAGAACTTGTTAGAGACCATTGTTAAATTGTTCTTGGCTGAGACGCCCATCAAGCCACGTGGCTGCGAAAATTTAAATGGGTGAAAATACCAATTAGATGCGTCAACCCTCCCAAACTTTGTGAGACTGTGAAAACATAAATAGATAAAAATTGCAGAATAAAGCTTAAAAATAAACATTACTATCCATAAAAGAATGAATTTGGCCAAGCCTAGTTAGCTGCGTGTCGTTGGGGCTTGAGTCCGAGTCGTCTGACAGGTGTTTGATAGGAGTGGACAGAGATTTGATCCTTTGGCCTGGTCTACACTACGGGATTAATTCGGATTTAGCAGCGTTAATCCGAATTAACCCTTCACCCGTCCACACTACAGAGCCAGTTAATTCGAATTAAAGGGCCCTTTAAATCGATTTCTGTACTCCACCTCGACGAACGGAGTAGAGCCTAAATCGATTTTGTTAATTCGAATTAGGGTTAGTGTGGACGCACACCACCGAATTACTGTGTTTAAGTTAATGGGGTAGTGTGGCCGCACACCACCGAATTAATGTGGTTAAAAACCGAATTAAGGTGCTTAGTGTGGCCGCGCACAATCGAATTTATACAACCTGTTTCCCAAATTCGAATTATCTAAATTCGGATTAATCCTGTAGTGTAGACATACCCTAAAATGGGACTCCACTCATGAGGGGTCTAGTGGTGGAAGTGAAGTTGCCCATCCTAATGTCACTCTAAAAATGACTCCAACCATTTCAGAACGTTCTCCTGGACCCTGCAGCCTTTCCTGGCCGAGACAGCGAGATCACAGTTGACAGGAACACGGCAGAGAGCATGAGAGAATGGAGATTTCTCCTTCATCCATTGATAGATCATCCATTGGCATCACTGAAGTGGTTCCAGTTCCACATTTGAATCCAGATGTTGATGGATCTAGATGAGCTTGGAGTTGCACTTTGGGGGGACTAATATTGTCCGGTTGTTGGCTAGACCCGCTGGAGACCATTGCAGGCCTGAAGGAGATGGAGACACTTCTGTTGACCTTACACCCTTGACCAGATCTTGGAAAACTTGTCCTGATGTTGAAACTAATCTGTGCTCAAATCGCTTTATGCTGAGTCGTCTGACTGGTTTAGAGGACGACTTACGCTGTGCCACTTGAATTACTAACAACAGTTTGGAGTGGTCTGCCCCATGCATGGCTACAGTGACTTGTCGAACTCGCTGCCAATCAACAATGCAGTCAATAAGATGCTGTTGTTTGGACCTTGGGCTTGCCTGTGACATTTTTGTTTTGTCAGATAGGTGGAAAAAGCCATTTGCAATTGCTAATTTCCCCTTGAACTCTGCTACTTAGTGTGTGCGACCATTGCTATTCTCTTTCTGAGTCCCATTGTGTCCGATGGCATTCCGCCAGATTACCCCATTACTTCCAACCTTTGCGTTAAAAGTCCATGATGGTTAGCTTATCTGACGTTGACACGATGAGTTTGTCAAAGTCACTATAATTTTTTTTCACGTCATCTGCATTTCTCATGGTAGGGATGTACGTGCTGCTCATGGTAATGTACTTACATTTCAAAGGCAACCATAGACCCATAAGATGGTCACTTCTGCCTTTAGGTAGACTTTCAAGCTTGGGAACAATGCAGCTGCTGATTTCAAAGCCAACACCTGCTTGTCATGGCGCTGAGGCTGGGCGACCTCACCAGGAGAGCATGTACCCCACTCCGATCTCTGTGAATCGCCCGTCATCAGTAAATCTGGTGTCACGGAGAACGGCAATGTCCATTTTTAGCCACAGCCGCACCCGCGAGATGTCGGTGTCCTCTTTGGTCACAAAGGGCGGTGACAAAATGGTGCTAAAGATGCTGTTATGCAATTATTGAGGAATAAACTTATAAATAATGAAATAGGCTTGGTAATTAGTTTGAGATTTAAGCTTTCAAGCTCTTCTTCAGGCTCTGTTGTCTCTTTCCCACCAACAGAAGTTGGTCCAATAACAGATATTTTCTCATCCATCTTCTCTCTGTTTAAGTATGTTACCTAACGTTCTAAGACTTAGTTGTGTGTATTGGGGGAGAAACAAGGACACCACAAATTAACAAAATTGCCCCCCAATTTTGGTGCACGTAACCCTGAGGTTCGCCATGTTAACCTGTTGGAAACACTGGGGGAATGTCCAACCTCGAATCGCTGGTGGTAGCAATTGGGGTCCCCCAATTACAGTTACCTGGAACACCCCGCGTGGACCGGGCCCGGCGAGCAAATTAAACATGGCTGCCAGCCACAAATGGGTGGATAGGAGAAAGGGTATTAAAGTAAGGTGAATGTCTGACGTCTAGTGGGCACATTGGGGTGGCAGATACCTGCTTATGGGGCGTCCTCCACTAAACTCTTCTTGTCTCTTCATCAGAAGGTCTCCGTCAGAAGTAGGCACGATGTGGGGTTGGCTTGTCCATATCTTTTTTTCGATAACTGCAATTTTCCTAGTCAGTATTTAAATCCTCAATAAAGTTCTCATATCTCGATGTCTGGCTCCCCGATCTCATCTTGAATTCCTTCGCCAGCTATGTGCGGTTAAGACGGCAGGGCTAGTCCCTTGTGCCCTCTAAATCCATCCAAGGCCACGCTCCCATCCCTGGATTTCAGTGGGAAGCAGGGCCAGTTCTGACTGCCGTGTCTTGAGTCCGGACTCCTTTGTGGTGGCCTGAACTTCTTAAGGAGAATCCGCCGGGTGACTGTTGGCCACTGTATATAGACAGGGCAGGTCCAAGACTTCCTCAGTGCTCGTGATTCTCTCGGAGCTGGGGTACGATGTAGGGAGTGGATATGTGGGATGGCTGGAGCAGTTTATTGCCCCGGGTAGCTTATTGGGGCCAGAGTTGGCCGCTTCATTGGAGGTTTTCTTGCTGTGGGCGCGAGTCACCCTCCAGGGATGGGGGGAGAACCCAGGAGATCTGGGGCGGGAGAAGAGAGAGGGGCCCTTTAGGGGGCCAGTGTCTCCATGGTGGAAGCTGGCGTAGAGCAAAGATGACTCCCCTGGTTCTTCATCTCATGGGTGAAAAGGGCTCGGCTGTGGGACTGGGGCTCTGTAGGGGGAGATTTGGCCAGAGTGTTGCCTCTAGGGCAGAGATCAGGGCCTGGGGGAGTCCAAGCAAGGAGATGAGGTTGGTGGTGCAGTAGGCGTTGAAGCCTCCGGGTTGTTGTCCCCACCCCAGAATCAGCTGCCACGGGAATCCTTCCATCCGCGGTGGCTCAGAAAGGAGCACGAGGGCCGGGGATCTTGGGCTTCTGCCATCGTACAAGCGAATTAGGGGCTGGGGCTCCTCGCAGGCTGGGCCTATCGCTCCCTGGCCGTGACCCTCTCCCTGCCCCTCCCCACAGGCTCCTGGCCCAGCTGGATGAGGCGCTGGCTTTCGAGGGGCCGACCCGAGAGGAGCTGGAGGCGGAGCTGCCAGCCAAAGTCCTGGTGGAGCATGCTGTGGTGAGTGATGGGGCAGCGGGCCTCTGCCTTTAGGGGGCACCAGCTCTGGTCCAGTCCCAGGGGTGGGGACTGGCTGGCCCAGGCAAGTGGGGAATGGAACACGGGGCCTGTCCCCCCTAGGAGGCGCTGGCTCCCATCCTGTCCAGGGCGTGGGACTGGCTGACTCAGGGTGGGCAATGGGGCCTTTCCCCTCCAGGGGGCGCCGGCTGTAATTTCCCCCTACCATGGCTCCCTAGGACACACGGAAGAAGCAGAAGTGGATGTGCAGCCAGCTCCACGTGGTCAAATTCCTGCTGGAATTCTTGGACCAGAGGGACTCCGCCCCCTTTGACCAGAAGACCACAGAGGCAGCCGTCCGTGAGTAGCCCGGACTCCTGGGTTTTCACCCCAGCTCTGGGAGGGGAGTGGAGGCTAGAGTGGGTTAGAGCCATGGTGGCTCACAGCCAGGACTCACCAGTTTGATGCACTGCCTCTTTCCCTCCTGCCACCCTCCCCGGCCCAGGGAGCCAAATGGTGCAAGCCAAGCAGCAGTGGAAGGAGCTGAAGGCTGGCTACCAGCAGCGGGTGGAAGCCATCGAGGGGGCAGTGCCCTGTGTGCTGGCCCAGCTGGAGAAGGGCCAGCACCTGGCGCAGCGGCTGAAGGAGGCTCTGGTGCAATACGAGGCCCAGGTATGGTCCTGTCTTGGGCGTGTGTGAATGTGGGGATCCCACTTTGCCACCAGCTGCCCCGGGAGCTCCAGGGATTCCACTTCTGCCACCAGGTCCCCTTGGCCCTTGGGGGAGGGGCCCTGTGGTTTCCATCCCACTGCTGCCACCAGCTCCCCAGGGATCCTACCACTGCCACCCAACTCCCCTGGGGGGAGGGGCCCTGCAGTCTCCATCCCACTGCTGCCACTAGCTGCCTAGGCGGTCACAGGGACCCCAGCGTTGCCACCAGCTCCCCTCTCCCCACAGAGACATGAGGCTGAGAAGAAGGCAAGGGACGCCCGGGAGAGACGGCAGAAGGAGCAGGTACTGACCCAGGGGTCTGTGGGGGGACCTTTTGGAGCCAATCAGTGGGGGGAGAAGACAAGTGGGGGGTGGTTGGGACTATTCTAGGAAGGGCTGGTGGGTTGATTGTGGGAGGAGCAGTGGGACTGGTCAGAGCAGCAGCTGCCCCATTTCACTGTCCCGTTCTCCCCCCCCCC